ATTCAAATGGGGTCTCAGCAGATATTTCTAGTCTGAATTTCTTACAAGAATCTAATCAGATTCGAGTATGACTTTTCTAGCGCGGTTCTAGTCGGAATCCATTATCACGTTGGGAAGCTTAGGGACATTTCTACACGAGATGCTTCATTGTATTTTTTCCAATTAAAGAAGAAGTTAAAAATCTTCAAAAAGTTTTTAGTGATAATACGATTTTGGTTATTGGATTTGTGTCTTTTACGATGGAATAAAACTTTATATTTTTGAAAGTCTTAATGCAGGGTTTTTGAATGTTCTTCAAGTAGAATATTTAATTAGATTGTTCCCTTTTCAATCAACAGTAGTTTTTGAAGCTCTTGATCAACAACCGATTGGTATAGTTAAGTGTGGAGTATATGCAATAGCATATCTTTCTTTCATAGGAAAAAAAAGCGTGGATTGCCACATGTTCGTTTAATTATATTTTTACGTACACAAATTTGCGATGCAGAAACTTTAAATCAAATGATATGTGCTGAAATCCCAGACAAAATAAAGAATCCAAAACTTTCTAACATTATAAAGCGATTTTAAGTTCATGGACCATGCTGTAAACAAAATAGGAATTCACCCTGCATGGATCCTAAAATGGGTCAATTAAATGTATTGCTGGCAATTCGATAATCGTAGCATATAATCTTTATTTGAGTACAAAATTTGAAGGTCATAGTGACTGTGGAATAATAGGTTATAAAGATGATAATGAGGAAATTCAATATGATGAAATTGAACATTATTTAAACACACTTTATGTATGTCCACCAGAAGCTATGCACAGATTATATTTACAAATTAACTGAACTATTATATTATAACACGACAGTATTGAAATAGTAATACAATAACGATTTCAAAAACAACATTATTAATTTTGTGAGATCAAAATTCCAATAACTTTTCGTCAAATAAAAATAAATTTTGCATAAAAAACGTATAGTTATCACGCGCGTTTCTTTTGCCTAGTTATATTATGTTATAACACCATAATGTTGAAATAGTAATACAATAACGATTTCAAAAATAAACTTTTCGTCAAATAAAATATCACGTAAATAAAATATCAAATATCACGTGTATCTACGCGCGTTTCTTTTAGCTAGTTGTTTTATAACTACCGTGGATTTTAGGTCACTACCGTGGCAGCACTATTTTGCTATTTCTAGAATATCTTTGTGAATCTTAAGTTTCATGTGGAATCATTTTTACTGCTTATTCTACTAAGAAAATTAGAAGTGAAATAATGTTAATACCCTTGGTTATTCCAGAAATATATTTAAAAAAATTAGAGCCTGAAAAATCACAGTTTGCGGAAAATTACCCATATATAGAAGAAAAAAAATATTCGTCGCGCATGCGCGTAACGTTTCAACTTCAAGTTGCAAGAAACCTCAAAAATACCTGGTCATGGCTACATGTTAAGGATCTCAGTCCACAACAAAGCCAATGCATGCGTACATATTTGCATGGATTTGAATAAGAAGAAGAAGTTGCAAAAAACCCATGTTGATTTTTCATGGATATCAAGCAATCGCTGCAGAGAAAGATGGGGAGTAATTTCAGCAAAAGTTGATAGCAGACTTTATATATGGGTTTTACTATTGGCGCACTGTAGTTAGACATGCCTTTAAAGCATGAATTCGAATCTGTTCTAAATTGTTTCTTTTGATTATATTGTTGTGCAAAAGGGGCAGTAGATTGCGTGTTAAACAAATTTTGTCCATATCGTATTTCTTCGTTATTCTGATACTGGCAGTGGATGTAAGGATTGTTATTCGTTCTACCATGTTGGATCCACGTCACTGTCGTTTCCCATGGTCTTTGTATCATCGCAGAAGTTGTGATGAGGGGTGTCAAAGGGTTTTGGAATGTGCTTATTGATGAACTTGTAGGTGGATACATATCATGGAAACAATTATTCTGGTTGGAAACTTCGGTAACATATCGAAAAACGGGGTACAATGCAAAAATCACGCGCTCATGGAGCGTGCTCTTCGTCAGTACAATGTATGCTTTTATAAATATACCTATATAAATATATTTCAAAGTACGCATATATGTATATATAAATATGTATGGGTGAATCTCTCGAAAAGGACAAATGCTGAATTAAGAAAAAAAAAAAAAAAAAAGTTCAAAACCACTGTTATGACTATTGCTATGTGAAGAGAAGGACCTAAATAAGTCTCTAAAATACGTTGTTACGATCTTTATGAACATTATTGTTTAAAAAATAATTGTTTAATATAAAATAATTGTTTAATATTTTGTCACCGATACAATGATCGAATCCGTTTAAATCTTGTTACTCGAGGGTTTTTGGGGTCGCTAAACACGAATCCGGTGTTAGTTTTTCAAAATTCAAAATGACAGATCCAATATGGCGGACGACAATTTCAAAAATCAGTCCAATTTACTTGAAAATGGTTATTCGGGGGTTTTCGGGGTCGCTGATTACGAATTTAAGGTCCGTTTTTAAAAATTCAAAATGGCGGACGACAGATTTAAACATCCATCCAATTTACTTGAAAATAGTTACTCAGGGGTTTTTGGGGTCGCTGATTACGAATCTGGAATCAGTTTTAAAAAATTCAAAATGTCGGACAATTATCTTTTAAATCTATTTAATTGGCTTCAATATCGTTAATTAGGGGGTTTCAATAACGGTGAACACAAATCTGAAGGTAACCCAAGTAACCATTTTCAAGTAAATTGGATTGATTTTTGAAATTGTAGTCCGCCATATTGGATCCGCCATTTTGAATTTTGAAAAACGGACCTCAGATTCGTAATCAGCGACCCCAAAAACCTCCGAGTAACCATTTTCAGGTCAATCGGATCGATTTTTTAAATTGTTGTCCACCATATAGGTTCCGCCATTTTGAATTTTTGAAAACGGACTTCAAATTCGTAATCAGCAGACGAAAATCTTGAAGGAACGATTTCGTTTGATTTTTTTAACATTATTATTCGATAATATTACATGTTCTTTTTTTTTGACATGGCCCCCTTTGACCCCCTGTAATTCCGAAAGGGGGCATATGCTCATCTTGAAATTTTGCAGGGATTATTGGGTCATCATATGTTACCATTTGGCATAAAGAAAGTTTCAAAATTCGAGGTACGAAAAAGGTGCATTTTTTTGCATGAGGCTTTATAATCGATGGATGTGACTAGCGATCACGGAGGGGAGTTTTCTTCCTTTAGGCGTAGCCAAAATTTATTGATTCTAATATAAAAATAATAAATTTTATAAAAAAAAGTAATAATAGTATTCGCCATATTTAAAAGAATATTCTAAAAATTATTAATAATATTTATTATTTATTTATCAAAAAACTAAATTTAAAGTGGACACGGAGGGGAGTTTTTTTGTGTCGACGAACATTGCGAAACTGAAAATCTTTCTGACACTTATTGTTTTCATTTCTTTCATGATGTTGTGTACTGACTAAAACAACATCGTCACTGTAAACACTTTTGAATTCTTCATTTCTCAATTATCATTTTTTTTTTTCATTTACTCATTATATTTGTAATTGGTCACGGAGGGGAGTTTACTTTGCGAACAAAACTTATTTAATTCTAGGAAAAAATATTTTACAAATATTCTGTTTTACACTTTATAAATCAATTATAAATAATGTAATTAGTAGATGTTACTAGACAAAAGATGTTTTCCTATTGCAGTATGAATGCAATAATTCTTCTTTAAATAAAACTTACTTCGCGAACGGTAACGGAGGGGAGTTTTTACACTATATAAACATGATTATATTCAATTATTTAAAATTGTCAATTTTTTTTTATAAAATCTTATTAAATTCTGTTGACTTCTATAATAAGGCCCGCAACATTTTCAATTATTATAATTATTTATTAAAAATAATGTCATGAACGTGTCATTTGTCCTTTTTGTGAGAATGACCCGTATATAAAAACATATATACATGTATATAATGTATCCTGACGCGTAATAGGGTATTTTTTTGAAAAAGGACATGTTTTCGTAAATTAGCTTTTTCTCAAAACAATGTTTTTTGACCTAACGGACATCATAAAAAAAACTATTGCACTGATTAAGGACGTTTATCCACGGAAATGCAGAGCTCCAGAAAAAATAATAAATTAACAGTTAAATAATTAAAACAATATTATTAATTGTACTTTCTAAAAGAAGAAATATCAATTTTCAAGAAAAAAATTTAAAACTTAAAAAATTTATTGGTTTATACAATTTGCATAGGATAAAAATTTTGTCTCATCGCTTCTACAGTATTTTTGAAAAATGATTGAATTTGAATGTAATATGACTTATTTATTATTAATTAATATCACGAAAACAAGAAAAACGTCATTCTAGTTTTTATTGGTATTGAAAGTATATATCCTAAGCTTCATTTTGAGGGTACAAAAAATAAAAAAATAATAAAACTCGTGTAAAACAAAATTTTTTTAGAATTTTTTTTACATTACTAATCTATTAGTAGATGTATGAATGTCTATAGTAAGCATAAGTTTAGCACTTCAGATACTACCAAATGCATTTAAATATGAGCACGTGATCCCTCTATTCTTTCGGTTTCTCGTCAATATAATTTTATTAATTGTCATTAGCAAGCACTGTAAGCACGTGATAGTAAATATTTGATTTAGTGTAATAGTTATTTTCGAATACACAACGTCTTCAAGGAAATAGTTAAAACACTACTTTAATGTATCGAAAACTTTATACGCGTTTTTCTCGAAACGTATGTTTTCGCGAGCCGTGCAATGCAACTTCAAACGCCTGTAACCCCGCATTTTGTAATATTTTTTAATAACAAATTTTTTTTATAAAGCTTATATTGTGTACTTTAAGGTATGCTTTAATTTAATTCAATAAACTTTACCAGTTTTTTTTAAATTCCTGAAAGAACGTGCATTTACACGAATTTCCCCCCTTAATATATTTATAGACCACTAGGGACAAATTCTTGATTTTTTATTAGACTTCGATAATTTGTTTTGTATTGTTTACATTTATTAAGGGGTTAGTACATACTTCAGACCTTGCAAAGGTCTAACCTGAAGGTTAGGAATTTTATTCAAAATAATTAAATATTAAGAAATTCCTCTAACTAATGACCAAAACTTTTTATGTTGTAATATGTATTTTTTAAAAGTTATTAGAATTGTGTTAATAAGATATGATATTAGCTTATTAAACTATTATGCTTTGCTGTTTGTTGACACAGTGTCAGCGTTCGCAGCTGCTGCCGGTGCTGCTTCGCCTGTTTCGCCACAAACAAAGAATGGAAGTTTTTCCTTTAGGGCAGCTCTATATTTCGGATGGCTGAAAATAAAAAGAAATCTTTATTACTAAAATCGGAAATCGTAAATAAATTAACAAAGTAAATAGAAAGCAAACAAAGTTTCTTTTTTTATATTGTACAAAAAGTAATAAATGGTTTTTTAAAAATATAACATAAGGTAGGGGAGACCGGGGTTATTTGACGCACTTTTTATTTTTTGTTGTGTTACTCATTCATTTTTGCTTTTTTTAAAGTTATTGTATAGAAAACTTGTTGTAACATCTCAGCTTTAATTTAAAAAAAAACAAAGTTTAATGGAGTTTAGTTTTTTTTCTTTTTATACCACTTTCTTTAAAGCTGTACAAAGCGCGCCATGCAACCCCGGCCCGGGGTTGCGTGGCGTAAAAGTGAAATTTATTAAATTATATGATTTAAAGTTAAAACAGTATAAGACTTAACAAAATAAGTCTTACATTGTAATTTTACAATAAAATTATTTTAAAAATTAGAAAATTTCATTTAAATTAAAAGCATTTTCTATGAAATCGTAAAATTATAAAAAAAAAATTTGATAATTACGCTGTGAATATTTAAAAACCCATTATTCGGTTAAATTTTTTGAAAAGGATTGTTATTGGTGCATATGAATGTGTAAATTTCATATAATCAACTTAATTTAATCATTCTATTAATATTTAACGAAATTTTCAGATAAACGCGCCACCTAACCCCGAATATACTTTTGAAATATTTATTATTTTTTTATAAAAACTGTTAATATAAATCAAAAATTTTTTTGGTTTCTTAATAACAAATGTATAGAGCTCAAAACTTAATAATTGAGCTTTTCTAAAATTCATTTTTTTAAGAGATATCACAAAAAAGAAGAGGTTAAAAAATGACTTTGGAGTGCCAAAATCAGTTATTTTAATCTATACTCCACAATACTTAATGAATATTAATGAAATTTTGTAGAAACTTCCAGTTCATCAAGTACTTTAACTTGAATGAAGAGAAAAATTAATTTAACTTAACACTTTTCAATAAACTAAAGTGCGCCAAGCAACCCTTGCGTCAAACAGCCCCGGTCTCCCCTAGTTAGCTTTCCTAGCCCCCTTTCGGTGTTTACATAACATTGTATACCTATAATTTAAAATAAATATCTTTTTAAGTAGGGGAGACCGGGGCTGAAAGTGTCGATTTTGAGAAAACTAACTAAAATGCTAATAAAATGAGAATTTTTTGTTTTAATCTATAGTCTATCTATTGTAAAATTTAATGTAGTTTTTAAATCCATTATTATTTTTTAATAATTTTGAGCAGTTTTTTTGTAAAAAATGATTTTGTGCAGCGAGGCAACACGGCACGTTGAACTCTGCGCTGGGGAGAGTTGTGTCGACGTCGGGGTCGGTTGTGCCGCTTAGATTTTTTAGTTGTTTCAGTTGAAGCAAATGATTTTACGCGTAAGAAATAAAATAATTATTGACAATATATGATTTACTATTATTTATTAATCATTAGTTATAAACTTTTAAAGGTTTTTAGGAACAATCTTAAGATTTCTATAGATTTTAGTAAGTACAAATAAACATTTTCTGACTTATATTCTATAATTGCATAGTTAGTCAGTCACTTAAAATATAGTTTTCGTAATAAGTATTTTTATTATAAACATTCAAAAGATTTTTCCAACAATCGTATTACTTATAGATTTTTGTAAATAAATAAACATTTCTGACTCAAATTTTACAATTACATAATTAGTCAGTCTTTTAAAATTTTTTTGAAATAATTATTTGTATCGTTAATTAATTGTAAAAACTCTACTTTCTGATTAATAAATAATTTTTAAGACATAAATACTTATTCCGAATGCGATTTATTGAAATTACAATTGACACACATATAACTGACCGTTTTTTTACCCTACACACATTTTAAATGTGCCCAGTTTTTGCAAACTATGCATTGAATCAACTTTTCTCTTGATTTTGTGTTGGACTAACTATTCGAACAAACGAGGCAATAGTAGATTATGGTTATGCAGCGATTGACAGCGGCACAACCAGCCCCAAGCGAAAGGCGCAATTAACCTCGTTGCGTCGACGCTCACTTTTTATCATATATTAAAGAACTAGATAAATTAACTGTTAAGATCAATACACCATTGAATCCCTTGATAAATTTGGATCATTTAAAAAAAAACCTATCTGTATCTTTAAAAATGCAAAAAATAGACCAAAAAATGTAAACATGAAAACTTGCACGTAAGTGACGCCAAAGCACCAAATTACTAACAGCTAATTATTCCGTGAAGCAAACAAAATCAAAATAGTTGCCAAAGATGCTCATAAGTAAAACAATACTTCTCTCACTTTCAGTTTTGAAAAAAAAATTTGTTTTTGAGATATTCCTATCGGCACAACTTACCGCCGGCACTTTCAGCCCCGGTCTCCCCTACATAACCACAAATGATTATTTCTGTGCCTTTAGAGTAAAAAGTATCCTATGCAACACGTAGTTAACCCTAACGGATGGCAAACTACTTATGTGTCACGAACTCGTTTCATCTTCGTTGCACACTCGTGATACATTCGTAAATTGTTAAAATTATGGGGAAAATTAATGCAAATTGAAGAAAAATGCTATTGAATTGAATAAATCAGTTAGGGGAGATTGAGGCAAACCGGCCATGTTAACAGTTGTAAGGCTCTAGTAACTAATGAAACTAATGAAAAACCTTTTATAACACTGTGCAACACATTTCTCTTTCCCGAAATGCACTAGTGCCAAATTGAAGTAGGTTTATATAGTAGGGGAGACCGAGGAGGAAAGTAACAGAGGAGGAAAGTAACAAAGCTTATAACTTTTAAACAAATTATCGGATAGACATGGTTCAAACATATTTTTAGTCGGCACTGTTCCCCCTTCCTCCTCCATAGTGTGTCCGAGCCTGACAGGAAAGGTTAGGTCTGATTCCGGTGTGACGTGCAGAAAAAACGTCAAAAGTAAGTTTTCGTTCAAATTTTCAAAGTCTCGTATTTCTTTAATTGTATTGTTTTTCAAAATGTGCCTTTCGTTATTTTGTAGCCTTATTATCTGTCTTTAAGTTGTGCTTAAACAAACAATTTAACATTTGTGTAGTTTTAACTTTTTTGTTGACATACAAGAAAAAAGCGACCGAGGAGGAAAGTAACACGCTACTTTTCTCCTGTTGTCGATATTGTCCATGTTTTAACTAATGATTGAAGCAAATCGTATTTAATTTTACGAATAACAGAGATTTATTTAAGAAAAACCTGTGATCTAGGTAAGCATAAAATATCTCTAAGAAAAAAAATGAGCTAAATTCATAAAATGTTCGAAATATGTGCTTAATATGACCCAAATATGTGCCAAATAAGTATAAAGTGTACTTAAACTTTTATGTGTTCCTAATAAAAATATTTCTAATTAATAATAGTCATTAGTCTAAAGAATTTTACATAATTTTATACTGTTACTTTCCTCCTAGGAGCTTGTTACTTTCCTCCTCGGGGGTGATGAGGAAAGTAACAGATGAAGAGCTTGCGTAAAAGTTATACTGTGAACTGTCAATTTATTATAAATGTTTAATTCAAATTTTATTTAAAAGGTGAATGTCCAAGCTTTCATTTAATATATTGGACAAATTTATCCGACAAATATTTTTAATGCTAGCATAAAAAAACTGATTTTTGTTACTTTCCTCCTCGGTCTCCCCTAATTAAATCTCCAAAAGGTTTTAAAAAATTAGATCGCATTTCTTTATTAAGAGTTTTTGAAATTATACTAATTTTTAAAAATATTTTTGTAATATTTTTGGTATTTATCAATTAATTATTAAATAGATCAATAAAGTATATATTAAATATTTTAGGTTTGAAAATATAATATTTATTTGGTTTATGGTGATCATAAAAATTTTTTAATTAAGTTTTCGTCATTTTTTCAGAAATTTCCTTGATTTTGCCGCCAAGTTTTGCAATGTAATAAGAATTTAAAAAAGAATACTGATTAATGTTTGCTTCATTCTATTTTTGTTATTTACATTGAAAGAAAATTGTTTGTAACAAGAATACACCAGAATAAAATTACATTGTAAGACTAAGGATAAAATGAAAAAAAAATGGTGGTAAGATTCAGAAATTGAAAAAAGAGATTTCTTATAACCATGACGCAAATAAATAAACATATTTCGATTTTTCATTAATTTTTTAAGACTTAAAATGTGCAATACAATTTTTCTAAGTCATAATTTGATGCAATTTTTAAAACTAAAAATCACAAAACTCACAAAAAGTAAACAAATTATAGTTGCAACTTCCAAAGCCCACAAAAATAAACATCGAGATAATTTTTCAAAATTCTTTGTGGGGTTTAATTTGTCTATATATTAAGTTTAATTTAAGGCTAGACCGGCTCGGGAAAGAAACGATGATCCAAAAATTGTTGCACAGCTTGCTATAAAGGTCATCTAATTGAGCAACTTTTTCCCAGAGACCTTAAAATGTATTGTTTAGTTCCTGCATTAATTTTTAAAAAAATTTCAAACTGGCTGATTTGCCCCATTTTTGAGTTAACCGGACACCCCTCTGGGGTAAATCGGCCAGTTTATTTTTTTTATTTTTCTGGATATTTAAAAGAAAGGAAAACGTCACTAAATATATAAAATAAATAAACAATCTTCCCAATAAGGAAAATAATAATATAGGATTAAATTTCAATTAAAGAAACATCTTATTTATTATAAAACAAATAATTTTAACTATTTGTTGTAGATTTACGAAGAAACGTCTGTCAGTAAACTTCGTAAATCTCCGTAAAGTGGATGGAAATTCACGAAGGCGAGCACGAAGTTTCCTAGCCGATCGGTGATCTTTGTGAGTCTCTGTTGACAGGGAAACATACATTGCCCGGTTTGCCTCACTGAAAACTGTCCGGTCTGACCCATAGGCCCATTTTGACAATTAACATCTGTATAAGAAAAGAGCTTTGTAAAATCATAAAAAAATATACCAAT